CTACATCGAACAGTCGGCATCATGGCAATGCTGTCGCTCAGCTGGTAAGTGGCCTACTATGGGTAGCAGGGCTGTGTGCTACTCGTTTCTCCTCAAGAAATGTTCAAAGGAAGAGCCATCCCGCCTTTCTCAATTCAAAGAAAGTAGTGTTGTGCTCAGAAGAACGTTGCCGCTGCAACATGATCTAAAAATCCATAACCCGCGGGGGCAAGTGACGCATTAGTGCATAGGGTTTGTGAATGACTGGAGCATGTAGGGCAGAATTACTTACAATACATCCCGCGACTTAGTGTTATCAATTCACTTGTTTCTCTAGTTCCTTTCACGTTCATCCTACAGGTGCTATACCATATAGTGTTTTTTGGTGCAATGCAAGTGGGATGGGCACGCCGATTTTCCGAATACGGTAGGCGCGAAATAGCCTTACGTACTCTATCCGCTGATATGGTGTCACGAGAATCGAGGGAATTCATGAGCCACGGGAAGTGTAGCCAATTCGGGGAGATGAGGGCAGTCACTTGATGCGTGAAGGGCTGGAATGTATTACTTCCATAGCGTCCCGTCACGTCATAGCAGTGGGCATCAGTTCCTACGTACATACCCTCTGCTTCAGAAAATCAGAAGCGCGTCGAGTGCAGACCACACACCACAAGTGACGACGGCCTCCAAGTAAATCTGGTAACTAGTGATTCATAGTGATAGCTGATAGTTGGTAAATGATAGTTGTAATTAGTGAACTGATAGAATACAACTGCAAGGCTAATCATTTCATTGGCAGAAAACATTTACATTTTGTAGAGGCCGTCGTCACTTGTGGTGTGTGGTCTGCACTCGACGCTTTTCTGGTTTTCTGAAGTAGAGTACACATTCCTAGCATACCGTATTCATGATGAAAAAAATTGAAAAAGAACTTAGAAATGTATCTTGCAGTGCTGTGTTTGGTGGCTTGCGGGGTGGTTCGTTCACTTATGCTCATGCTACAATTGATCGCCAAATTAGGAACGATCTCTTCAGAGCGGTTACCAAGCAGGAAATTGGATTTTTCGATGCCAACAAAACAGGTACGTCTTTTGTAGCACTCTGAGTGGGGAATTTTGAGAAATTGATGAAATTACTCTCAACTTTCAGGAGAAATCTGCTCACGGCTGACCGCTGATTGCCAAACGATGTCGAACACTTTGTCCCTTTATATGAATGTTTTAACAAGGTAAGATCATTGACGTAGAGCTGCAGGTTATGGGCGCGGCGGTCGCGATGTGCGACTATGATGCATATTACTTTAGGACTAGGGCATTCATCCTTAACCTCGTAGGGTTTGCCTTCCAGCTGACTTAAATTGAACCATAGCGGCTTCAGGTGTTCATTGCCCATAACCCAACACTAGTCAGCCGAAATAAACCAACCGAACTTTTACCCCCCACCCCAGATGTGCTCGATGCCATTTAATCGACCTCCTGTTGTAGGGAAGGAATAGTTGGTCAACCGAAAGGATTGGTTCGGGATCCAAGGTTTGTGGTGTGGTGTAAGGGCAAACCTGGGACTATCTCCGTTCAAGCCACGCCTACATCCTGCTCAAGGGTTGTATGCATACCTAGCCGAAAGCGTTTCCCTGAAGCTCATCGCCTCTACTCCGGTTAGTATTTTCCATTGTCGGAGATACATCAGCTATCCTTTGGACCAATACCGGTAAGACGCTGCCCCGGGACTCGCTCATGCTCACACGATCAGACTTCAATCCAAGTGGTGGATAAAGAAGGTTTCAACCACTAAAGAAAAAACGACCTCATAGGAGGTTGTCTCAATGACCTCTCTCTCTCATTCCCCATTCTTCAGCGTTTGTCCCGCTTGTTGGCGGGAACCGCTTTTCTGATGTGCTGTCGCCACTTTTCCCGATTAAATGCTTGGTCCTGGTTGGTTGTTAACCAACTTCAAGTCTGAAGCTCCAATTTCTCAAGTGTTGGGTAGTTAGAGTCAGCTAAGGGCAAAAACGCTTACTTTCTGCTATCTGGCTGTCACACCAGTACAAAGATGATATAGCTTCCAAATGCTGTTGTGACAAACAATGCAATGATGCACGCCATGTTCTGGAAAGAGTTCATCACCGCCGAATGCCCAGTGTTTTTTTATATAAATAAATATAAAGTGTAAAAAATTCGAACTGCATTTTTTATAGAAATCTAACGATGCTGTTCGGTTCTTTGATTTTCATGACGACACTCTCATGGCGTCTGTCGATGATCACTCTTATCACCGTCCCACTTATGTTTCTTGTGAACAAAGTCTTTGGTGTTTGGTATGACGTGAGTTGGATCTTACCGTTAGCTCAGGTTTTCACTGAGCTGATATGGCACAGGTATATCTGCTGGGAACCAATTTTTGTGCGGGGCTGTCGCAGAATCCACATCCATTCGGAATACCATGGGGGTCGTATTTCTGGTTTCCGGGTAACGGATTGTGTAGGGGCATTTTGACAAGGATATTCGATTCTCTCTGGACATTTTGAGGAGGTTGTGGTGGCGGAACTTGAATAGTAGTGTTGTAGTTGGAGAGGGAGAGGAGATCATTTCGTGGGTGATCCCTTTACCTGTGATGGTATGGAGACTCGTAAGGTCCCCTCAAGAGCCAAGGCTACGGTTGATTTTGGGCTCTCGTAAAACCCTATTCGTGTAATTGCCAGTCCTCCAGATGAAAATGGAATAACCGATCTTTTTCAGAAATTGTCCGAAGAAACGCAGAATTCCATTGCACAAGCGAATGACGTCGCCGAGGAGGTGCTTTCGGCTATTCGTACAGTGAAGAGTTTTGCATGTGAGAGATTTGAGGGACACAGGTGAGCGAGTATTCCAATATACACATCTACCAAATGCTACAAAACGCATTACGATTGTTCACAATTATTGTCAAAGGATTGATTATGGTCAGTCTTTCCGGGATGGGCCACGCACCGCCCATGGCGTCAGACAACATTTATTCTTTTACAGCTACTTTCCTTACTCCATTGCTGCAAGTTTTC